ACCTGCGGAACCGGGGCTTTTTTTCCCCAAGTGCGGGGAGCTGGGGCAGGTGGGGCAGCCATTGCTGGACTGGGAGACAGGCGGGAGATGGGCCTGGTCTGGTTGATTTGGAGATTCAGCTGCTGCCAAATCTCCGAATCAGATTCATCCAAATCAAATCAGGACAGCGATTCAAATCACTGAATCGAATCACTGTCCCCCGAATCGGCCGAATCCAAAGCAAATACTAGCTGCTTCGCACAGGCCTAGTTACTAGTACTGTCTTAGATTTAAGAATATGCTCGTCCCGGTGCTGTTGGGAGGGTACATAGTCTATCCCACAGAGGACCTAGTGACGCTGGATAGAAGCAGTTCTGCTTTACAAAGGGAAGGCTATGCAATGGATACACAGCCTTTCATTTCACAGAGCTCATCTCTATGTCAATGTATCGTACACCAGGTGTGGGCAAGGTAGATGCAGGTTAGGATTTGTGTGGCAGAGCCTCCTACATTTCCTCAGACCCAAACCCGTACCAGTAAATGAGACACATTCATATAGATATACTAAAACATTGGGCCGAGTGCAGTACTTACCAGTGTTAAAGGTGCTTCTTCTGTTGACTTTATTGGAAGTGGCATTGTTTTTTTAAATCCAGCATTCAGTCAATGGTTTTATTCCAGAACTGTTGACATGCTCTCAACTTTGATGCCAGCTATCCCTGAACTGGCAATGAAAAAAAAATCAGCTGACAAAGCAAAACATTCTCCCTATTCTGTTCCCTGACACCACACCAAGAAACTTACTCCAGAAAGAGCTCACAATGAAAGCAGCATTGATTTTACTCAAGTTTTGTTAATCTAGACCCTACAATTATTCATATACTATACCCTAGTGTGTCCCTGCCCTATTAATTGATTTGTTTGATGTCAATAGGACTTAAGTTAACTATCTGATTAAGTACTTTACTGGATAGGGGCTTTAATCCTTTGCATTCTAAAATTGAACATCAAGCTACCTTTGCCCTCATTGAGACAGGGCAGGCCCAGATTGCCTAAAATAGGTGGGTGGTTACATAAATAAAGATCTAGATTTTCAGCTATAGATGCTCAGGCTTGAAAACTGCATCATTAATCCTAACGTCTGCAGGAAAAAAAAAGCAGTATATAACCTTTCTTAGGCAAATACATTATAGTTCTGCAGGACTGTTTGGCAGAATCATTCACTGAGACTAATCTGACTCCTAGCAGTAGGTAAACCTTGGTGTAAGGGAAGATTTGGGAGGGAAGGGTAAGCAAATATCAGAGCATTACGTGCACTAGTTCCGTAATCATTTCAGCATTGATTTTTGAAATCTATAACTATGGTAGGGGAAAAAAAATCTTCCTCACTGAAATTTATCATAAAAGGTCATTAATAAAATCTCTTGTTGAGTTCTTTTATCCATTCTTTGTCCACTAATAGAAAATATGTTCCTATGCACTCTACTACCCCATTAGCCAGCATGGTTCGACAGTGACCCTCTCTTATACTTTTTCCTGCCAAAAGTTATTTTTCCAATGGTGTTGTTTGGAGGGTTTTGACTGTTTGACTAATTTATTACTTATTAGACTTTTAAAACAGGTGAAAAGGAGTGAAAAACAGAATCAAGCATTGCTGTATTATGTTTTTGGAACATTTCTATCCCTTTTATGTTTCCCTTGCTAATCCATCCTCATCCATTTCTAATTTTCATTATATTAGGAACTCGCTTAGCTCTGAACTTAATTCACATTGTAGCCTTCTTGCAACAGGGACCATTTTAGCTTTCTAATGTCCATAAGATATCTAGTATAATGAGGCCCAGAATCCAAAATCATCTCTTGGTGCTACGGTATTGCTAGTAGTTGTAATGATAACAATAAAAATAATAATTCATGAGAATATGTGTCTTCAACAGCCTTTACCTGTCTACTATTATCTCCTGGACTGCTCTGGAACTGCTTTAATAATGTTTGTTCAACTGCTTAGTCTTTATTTAGACACTGAACATAGCACTGATTTGGAGACAAACAGTGAGTGAATCTTGCATCCAATATAGGTTTTTTTTTCTAATGGTTTTCTTTTGGTTTTCTTTTATAAACAGTGAAAGTTAAGACCAGTATGTCAACAAAGGCTTCACCACCAAGAGAAGTGGCCTGGCTATTTTTCTCTCTATGATGAATGCCAAAAATGATGTGGAGATCATCCACTTCTAAGAAAAGCCAAGCACTGCCTACTCTACAATCTTCTATATAGAAAGTACGTAAAGCTTTTCTCTGATTTTTCTCTGATACTTTACAGATAGCACCCTTCACTATTATACAGTCAAGTTACTTTTAACTGAGATATTTTAGACTTGAATCAAGAAAGTAGTGCTTTGTTTAAATTCTTCTTTTTGCATTCAAACATAAAAAGAATGAAATGTACTTAAGTGCATGAAGAGAAAAGCCTTTCTCAAGCGGATTTTTTTTTTAATAATCACCTTGTCCTATACTCCATTTCAAGTATTGGTATTCATCTAAAAACAAGAAGGAAACAGTGATGTGCAATAAGTCTGCTTGGATGACTGTTTCTGATTCGTCTCCATTTAGTTGCTGCATACAAACTAATGGAGTTTACCATGTATTTACAGTTAAATTAATTTTCAGTAAGATCAAAATATCAAAGGCTCATGCACAGAAGCAGTTCTCACTGAATCTCCTTGCATGTTACAACGCAGTTCCCAGGAACAGGTATATATTTCTGTAGACACTCATAACAAGCTTATCTAACAAAAGAACTTCATAATCCATTGGATAATGGTCAACCCAAGCAACCATAACAACTTCCTCCTCGTAGCTACAGGGGCTGTTGTAAGAGATTTTGTTCTAGTGGTAAGGACTTCTCCTTTGGTGCTGAAGATCGCTGGTTTTACCATAGCCAATAACTATAATGTTTACATGAGTGCAGCCATAGTTCATTATACGTGCAGAGAAAATCACTTTTGCTCCTATCCCAGGAAAGTTAAAGAAATTAATACCCCCTTTAAAAAAATAATAATAAAGCTACAAGAAACCATGAAAAGGCAGATGGCAGGGTAACCTTAATGGGCTCATTTCAGAAGTGTACTTGCACTGCTATTAATCATTAGGACCTCCGTCGGCTCCCCTATTTATTGCGCACAATCCTGCTTTCAACATAACTGAGTTTGGGCCCTGTTTGCCCTATTTTTCTGTGTTCTGTTCAAACCGGTAACATCAATCTCCATGATTCATTCTGGCTAAGTTGTGCTGCACGTAGAGACAAATCCCTTCCCTTCATTGAAGTGAGAATGGCTTGGGCTTCTTTATTTTTTATGAAGCAGAAGTTCAAGAGTTCACCTTTTATAGATCCCATCCCTTGCAAGGAAAGAGAAGGGAAGGTCTTTAGAAAATAAATAGTACGATGAGAAACTGAAAGACAGTTTTAGTAGGGATGCCTCCTTTCAGTCATGTTTAGTTTAAAGTTTAAAGCTTGCCTCTCTCTTATGTGCACACGCACCCTTTGATGAATCTGCCCCAGCAGTAGGGCACAGGGAAGACTGAAATTTTTGCCATTACTGTAAAAAAAAGGAACTCTTTGGGTCAACCTAAAAGTCATAACACTTTTATTATTCAAAAAAAACCCCATTATGCAGTGATGATCTGGATTTAAAATACTGTGTTTCAAAACAACAAACATGAATGCAAGATAAAAAGTATTGCTTTTAATTTTCCTCTATCTCACAGTTTTCAGCTTTCAGTAATGAACAACTAGTGGTTAATTTAGCCCCTGATCTAAAGCCTATTGAAGTCATCCCTTCATCATGGCCTTAGTCTTTGGGTGCGGGGTTCTTTTCTTTTTCTGCTCTACATGTTAGACTTTCTCTCTCAAGCATGGAATAAAGATCTCAGTATAAATGTGACCATATTATCTTATATTTTTAGCATGAAAAAGTATGATTTTCTTCAAAATAGAGATCATAAAATTGGTTTTTTTCTTCTTAATTACTGTGTTTGTGACTGTAAATGTAATGCCTCTGCAGGCTCTGCTGGAAAAAACAGAACACTCCAGTGAAGCACCTGAATGAATAAAAGGGGTTAAGATTGATAGGACATGGACAAAGACATGGACAAGGAAATAAATTAATATGATGAAGTGAAATCATTGTTTTGGTCAGTGAGAACTGTAACGTTTTCCTTCTAATATATAATTTGTTTTATAGACCCTATTTTTGTTGCTTCACTGTACAGGAAGAGTTCACTATATGGCAGTGGATTATATATTGAACAGTTTCCTATGAGCATCCAAATGTGCACTGTTAATAAATTTGGATATTGGCATAAAGGAGTGTTTCTTTCTGCCTATACATGATTTATACCTCTATTTCTAAATTTGTTTTAACCATCTCTGCATAAGGGAGGAGGGTGTACTGCATGATGTATTTTACCTAGGCTGTATAAGTTTCCTGTTGTTGTTGGGATAGGATCATTGTTAGGATAGGATTGCAGTCTTGCAATACAATGTGTATTTACAAGATTGTGGTCCATATTTTAGCCTCAAACAAATTTATTTGTGGCAATTAGAATTTGCACCTGTCCCAGGTGCCCTTTCAGGTGCCTTTTGCATTTGGGGTACCAAATAAAGTGCACATGTCTCAGTGGACAGCTTTGCCTCTCTCACTTTGTTCTGTGTCTGATTACTCAACAAGGAACATCCAGATTAATGCAACCTTTTCCTTTGCTCTCATAAACCTTTTTAATTACCCTTCACTTCAGGTTCTACACCATTAGGGTATTGCTGTACCTGGCACAGTCGATTGGCCTGTTCCTATATAGTGGGCATCTCTACACATGCATTTGGTCCAAGATCAGCTTACTTGCAACTAAACTACTTGCAAGAAAATGCACCCAGGCAGGGGCTCCCACACTCGCACATCCAGCCTGACAGCCCCTCATACACGCGGGCACTGGACCATCTGCCCCACACCAACTGGTGCTGTACCTTCACCTAAAGCCACAGCATCATGTGGTCACCAGCCTCCTTCTGCCACAAGTTGGGGCTCCACGTAGCGGGCACTGGTGTGGTCGATGATGAGGCTATTGGGGTTCCTGCACTGGCTCTCCAGGCCTCTGCACAGCTGTATCTGTGCTGCTGGGCCTGGACAGATGCCTGCAGTGCCCATTGCAGGGGCACAATGCAGGACTGGCAGCTGCATGGTAAGATAATGTCCCACCGCACCTTCAGGCTTCTCGGGATGGGCTGCAGGCAGCTGGAGCTTGTCCCAGTGGCCAGGAGCTGCCTGCAGCTGGACCTGGGTGCTGTGATGGGCCTGGCAGGAGCCTGGAGCAGCCTGCAGAGATGAACAGCATAGGCCTGACAGCCTCATGGCACTGCAGTGCCAGGCAGCCTGGTACAGCTGGCCTTTGGACTGCCCAGGAGCGAACTGGAGTGGACTCAGGCTCCCTGCACATGTTCCTTAGGGTTCAAAATGTCTGTAGGCTTTCAAAGGCCTAAGGCTGGGGCTGCCATAGAGCCAGCTTAGCCCTGGAACAGGAGAGGCTCACTGGCATGGAGCCCTGGGGCTAGCAAGTCTGCTCCTGGTTGGTGTCTACACATACGTTACTGTGCAGTAACTACTCACAAATTAATTTGCTACTTGCATTTACAGGTAGCAAATTTACTCATGAGTCGTGTCATTTACTGCACAGTAATTATGTGCATGTGTAGACACTCACACTTACTGTGCAGTAAACTACGCTACTGTGCAGCAAAGTGTCTCGTGTAGACTCTCAGTTTAAACCCGATTCCCCCAATAATACCCATACTGAGTAGTACCTTAGTTTGCATTTTAGCCCATGTTCATGAGTAGAGCCATTCATTGGTAAGACCCTATTTAAAGAGGAAGCAAAATCATGGCCTTTGACAACAGTAATGCAGTTAAGTAGGAGCTAAAATGTTTTCTTAATGAAGAATTATTATTAACTATAATTTTTTTGGAGACCGAACTTTTTGTGTGCTTCATGTTAGTTTATGCCAGGTGGCTATTTATTTTATAATTCATGTAAATTCTATTTTACATCTCCCTTTCCTCTTTTGTTCAAGGGATATCAGATTTCCTTCATCCTGAAAACCTAGAAATAGACCACTCATTTCTTGAGGATTGGAGTAGGCTGCTATAATTTTAGGGACTGGACATGAACGTCCCATTAGGTTGTTTTTGGAGCCTTCAAGATTATAGTAATTATCTCCACTTCTTTTTCTCCCCTCAGAAGGCATCATTATTTGGCATTTATCATTCTCAGAGTCTCTCTCACTGTTTATCACTTACATCCAAAGTGCTTTGGGGCAAATTCTTCTCTCAGATAAAATTTAAAAAAAGAATTTTTTTTTCATTATATAATTCTAACAGAGTTCCCCACTTTAAAGTAAATCATATGCATTCCCTAAGAACTCCCTGTTTCCAAGCTCAGCACAAGAACATGTCAATAGTGCAAGGCAATGGAATGAGTTAAAAATGAATCAGCATGGCCAAGGAGGTTTAGGAGCACACTGGAAGTTTACAAAGAAAGACAAACGCCCTGTCCATTTGGACAGAAAACAGTCTGTTTCTCTTAGTTTAACATTTCCTTTGCACATCCATTATAGATACACACCTACCCAAAGAACCTTGCCTGCCTGCATCATACTAAAACACTTTTGCTGTCAAATTTTCTTATCGTGCTGTATTCAGCTTTGTTTGTCTAACATCTTTTCAGCAGCTGACTGACTTGATTTGTCTTCGTTCACTTCTATAGTTTCTGCAATAATCCTTTGATATTATTTATCTTTGTTTGACTTGTATTTCCACAGCCGTCTTCTGACGTTGTTCATCTTCATTCACCAGATATCTACCGAGCAGTAGTTGCCTGGCACTGTTAGGCTTGGTTCTCGGTCAGCATTAGGTGCTTGAAATCATCCTTCTTCATGTATTCATGGTGTACCAGCTACCTCCTAGCATCGCTTATGTACATTAAAAGTGATCATCTAAATCGGGTCCGTTTCTTTTTACATCCCAATATATCCTGAAGCCATCATCTGACACCACTTGCTTTAGTCCTGTTCACATGTGCTCCAGAAATATCCATGTCCACAAGCATTCACAAGTCAATTATGTACAGCTATACCTCATGCCATACCCCAGAGCATAACATGCTACTTCTGTTCTGAGTATGTGGCATTTATCATTATGGGGTTTTTTTTGTTTTCCTACTTCTGCCTAGTGAGCCTGGAAGCCTATATGAACTGCGTGAAAAATATACCTATCTCATGCAAATGCACCATGGAAATAAGAAATCGAACAATTCTAGGGTGACACCTGCATTAGTATGTTGTACTTCCTAACAATCCCTTCTGTATAAATGCAGAAATGGATGGTCCTACAAGCAAACTACACATCGGAGGGTGAGGAGATCTTGGGTCGGTAACGGACTTACAAGAACGTGTAGAAAATGGGGTTAATTTTTTCCTATCTTTAAAGGGAGCTGTTAGGCTTACTTAATTAATGACTACAAAATATGATGAGATCTTATTTGATAGAAGATCCTATCCATCAAAGTGCAAAACATAAAAATCCTGAACCAAAGCTAAAATGAAATTAGCAATGTGTCCACACAGTAATTAAACTATAACAGCTATTGAGAGAGAATTGGCAGAGGATCCATTTAAGGAACTGGCATGTTTCTCATTGAAAGTGCTTCTGATTTCCAGCATACGAAACCATTTAAAATTCAATGTCATCTTACCTGGGAAAAAATAACAATAGAGTTGGACTTCCCTTGTACTTTCTAAAAATATCTTAAACAGCCATTTTGATCTTTCCTTGATAACCATATATCTGGGGAATTTCTCTGGAATATTTTGTGAAATAGCATGGTTGTCAACAGGGGCATATCTAAATCAATGGGAAAATTTTCATTGGCTTCGGTGTGTTTTAGATCAGGGTGTATTGTTTTTTACTAGTAGGAAACTTCCCCTATAGAACTATTATAATAAAATTGTTCATTTATAGAGAAATTGGATATTTCCCTAAAGCATTCAGTGCTGGCTTGTCTGAAGGGCTAAAGACACATAATTCCAAGAGCAAAGGGAGCTGGAAATCAGTGTCTCAAGCTAAATACCCCCACGTTTTGGGCACAGTGTTTAGGCCCTGGTTTCTATTTGCCATCATAAAACTATAATGTTCAATTTGTAAAATGGGATTTGCAATTTGAATAACAATGGAAAAAAGGGTTGTGAGAATCACACATGTAAATTAATTTTCCTAAATTTTCAAGTAGTTTTGTCCATAACAACTTAATAATGAAACCTATTTATTCAGTAATTTCCTCTTCACCATCATGCGAGAAGCATTGACCATTTGCTTGGAGAAACAATTCCAGAGATTTTACAAATAAATCTTATATTAAAAAAGAAAATGCCAGTCAAATTCTGTACAAGCTTTGGCAGTAATGCTTAACTGGTGTAGGAGAAAAAAATGACTTGCTCTTATCCACTGAACACATGGACTGATACTTTTAATACAAAAAAAAGAATTACTCATTAGATGAAACAGTGTCCCTTCATGTTTCTAAATCAGTGAATAGCATTTTAAATATGCATAGCCAATTAATTTATTTGGAGAAACATGGTTAAAATACCATGCATATTTTGGAAAATGCAAAAGTGTGTCATGTTTTAGCTTAGAATCCAATTTCAGCCCTTACCATTTTGCAACCTATAAGTCAATAAAGTGCTGGTTCACATTTTCTGTTAGATGGGCATAGTACATAATTTTTCCCCCCAAATTAAACAAAAGTATAAATCCAGTGTCGAGTCCTGTGAACCTTCCAATATTAGAGAGTAGCAGATATATATACAAAGTGACAAGGAGTAATGAATATAAGTGCTAGACTAAAAACCTACTTTTAAAGACATTTACTAACTGTTGGGGAACAAATGTTAAACACTCTGAATGGAAAGGGATGCCTAATATTACACATGTAATTGTGTGTATGTGTGTGCACATGTGCATACATCACGATAAAATCAACATGAGCAATTTTTTTTTAATTAAGAATGAAAGTTAATTATGTTTGGCACACATCCTCAGTTTTTAATAATACATGTGCCAAATCCTGGTATAACTAAGCAC